GAGCTCATATAGAAAGTAAATGTTTAGAAAATAATGATGGAAACATATGGTCAAATATGCTTGATACAATTGATGTATGGATTGTTATAAGAGCTATAAGATCCCCCTCCCCCATAAAATGAGCTTTTAATGGAAAAAAAATTAAGAAGTTGGAAGAGATGATCCTTAAATTGCTTCTGCTCCTTAGAGAAAAACGCGCGCGGGAGCTTCCAGCCCCAGGGAGCAAGGGAACAAGAACCAGGCATCTCACATGAACCTCATCTCACCCTCCCCAACCCCACACCCATTTCAAAACGGGGGCAGAGCTTTAGAAGGGTAAGCCTTGCTTCAGGTCACAGAAGGCTGGAGTCAAGGGCATCGCTGCCCACTCTACTCTGCTGTCCTCAGGACTAGGGAGAAGCATGCCTCTCCCTAACAGCGTTTTAAAGAAAGAATGCTCTAGGTGGAAGGACAGCGTGCCACTCACAGGCATCTGTGGAAAAGGAAACGAAGAAGCCAGAAGCCAGGTTTCTGTCCCAGCCCCTCTCTGGTCCCCCTTGGTCCCACTCCGCATTACCCTGCCAAGTGGGCATAAGCCGTCGCCTTGCCCCTCCACGTCCCTGGGTTTGAGGATCAAATAAACTCACGGGCGCTGATCAAGAACGCTCCGTTGCTGGACAGGCGTGGTCATAAGGTGAATTCAAATCAGGTGTGTGCTCCTTTTTCTCTATAACACATCCACGTGCATAGCACATGTAGCACACTGTTGTACGAGGAGGTCGTAGGGTTTGCAGAAGCCTGCACCGTGTGTGTCATTCATGTAAAACGAGGGTGGTACAGTTAAGAGTCACGTGCCGTGATTGTCAGTCCGGGTGACCGTTTTCTGAGCACAAGCTTCTCAAGACTCGGACGCTCCTAACTAGGAGGCATTTATAGAGGTCAAAATACAGGTATGTACATGTGTAAATATATTTATATATAACGATAGGGAAATAGATCTATATATGTTAAGCATCAAGGTAGAAGATGGACATTGGACCTCGACTGAAGTACTCCCTCAATGCAAGAACACTTTGTTCTAATAACCTGGCATTTCGTGATACTCACCTTCCTGACACGATCGCTGGAGACAAAATGGGTGCATAAGCAAATGTAGTGAAGAAAGCTGATAGTGCCCAGCTATCAAAAGATAACAGTGTCTGGGGTCTTACAGGCTTGAAGACAAATAATCGGCCATCTAGCAGAGAAGCAACAAGTCCACAGGGAAGAAGCACACCAGCCTGTGTGATCGTGAGGTGTCAGTGGGATCAGGTATCAGGCACCAAAGACCCAGAACAGAAAATTATAGTGTGAATGAGGGGGAGTGCAGAGTGGAAACCCAAAGCCCATCTGTAGACTATTGGACATCCCCTTACAGAAGGGTCACAAGGAGACGAGTCAGTCAGGGTGCAGTGTAGCACCAATGAAACACAACTTTCCTCTAGTTCTTTAATGTTACTCCCCCACTATCATGATCCCAATTCTACTTTAGAAATCTGGCTAGAACGGAGCATGTACACAGGT